TCCATGACCATGCCAATGCGGCGCTCAGCAATCCCATTTTGCTGTGGTGAGTCCGGAAGCGTGAAGGTCTGGCGGATCCCCCGTGCACGACAGTAGTCTCGCAGAAGGCGAGAAGAGAACTCTCCGCCTCTGTCAGAGTGCAGACGCAGAACAGGAAAGTCCGAGCCGAAGCTCTTCCTGAGCTGGAGACGAGCCTCGCGGATCCAGTCGATCAGCACCTCAGTGACCTCACCCTTGCTGCGCAAGGGGAGGACTGTGGTGTAACGCGAGTAGTCGTCAACCACCAACAGGAAGTAGCGCTCGTAACCCTGCCCACGGACGGGGGCTGGGCCCCACACATCCATGTGAAGCGTCTGCAGGGGAGCCTCTGTCGGGGGGAAGTGGGAGGAGTGAGGAGTAGCCCGGAGGCGACCCTCGACACAGGGGACACAGGAAGGTCCTGGCCCGGAGGGGAGAGGAGGGAGAGACTGGGGAAGACCAGAGACAAGGACACGGGAAGCCATGCTCCGAAGACGGGGCAAGGAGGGGTGACCAAGACGGTGGTGCCACAGGAGAGTCTCGTGAGACAGGAGGCGACAAGTACAGGGGGCAGACTCAGGACCAGACCTGGACGCAGCAGCAAACACCTGACCCGACGCTGCTACCTGACTGGACGCGGGGACAGGAGGAGACTCAGTGGTCAGGGTGTAGAGGCTCGACCCCGGCCGACGCGAGAACGTGGCCAGGTGCCGGCCTGTGCGTGCGTCCGTGCAGTGGGTCACCCGCTGACTCGCAGGAGTGAACTGGTGAACCCCCGCATCCTGTAGGTCTGCACCACTCACCAAGTTCGTCGAGAACGAGGGGAGGTACAGGCCAGACAGGGTGCCCGAGGGGGCAGCCGGACACGGGAGGACAGTGGAGAAGTGAGCGAGGACAGGACCCCCAGAGGGGTCAGCCAGGGAGACTGCAACCGGCCGACCAAGCGGCGTGAGTGTGGTGCGGTCCCGAAAGAAGGAGCGAGAAGCCCCAGAGTCAAGTGTAAAGGTGAGGGAGGCCGAAGCCAACGCGGTACCTGAGAGCGCAGCCTCACCCGCACCTGAGGAAGCAGACTCACTAGCACCTAGAGCAGCAGCCTCACCAGTAGCTAGAGCAGCAGGTCCTATACCTGGGTCAGGCGGGACGCACAGGTGACCGGCACTGTCAGCACTAGTAGGCAATGCATACATGGCAGTGAGAATAGCATCATAGTCAAGAGCATATATATCCACCCTCTGCCTAAGTAACTCCACCCAGTCGGGAAGCTCAGCCTCGTCGCCAAACACGGTACGCCAGGCGTCGCTCAGACGGGCGAAGCAGCGGGACGGTGTATGACTACGTGTCCCACAAGGCTGACCAGTCCGAGTACCAGTGCGAATCACGTAAGAGCAGCGAACAGCAGTGAGAGACCCTCCACTCTGAGCGTACCACTCACGAAGCTGGCGAGGCGTGAGAGACACGCGAGAGGGTCGCGGGAGCTGCATCTGGCCGCCACCACGAGTAGAAGCAGCAGGAGTGGTAGTAGGAGTAGCGTCGCCACCCCTACAGCCCCAACCAGCGTACCACTCACGCAGCTGCTGGGGCGTGAGGGACTCACGCCGGCGTCGCTGGGGTTGCATGTGGCTCCGCAAGTAGAAGCAGGAGCAGGACTAGCAGCAGGGAGGCAGGCAGCCAGGCAAGCCAAAAGGCAGGCAGGCAGGCAAGTAGGCGACGCGCAGTGTGCTAGCAGGGCAAGAGCTCACCAGTGGTGGGAAGAGTAGGCTCGGCGACCCAGCGGCTCGGCAGTTCGGCGGCTCGGCGGCTCGGGCGACTCGGGCGGCTCGGCGGCAAGGCGCCTCAGCAGCAACTGCAGCTCAGCAGCTCGGTGACTCGGCGGCTTGGCGGCAGGGCGGCTCGGCAGCAACTGCAGCTCAGCAGCTCAGCGACCCGGCGGCTCGGCGGCAGGGCGGCTCGGCTGTGGGGCGGCTCGGCTGCTGCAGGTGAGCGGCTCGGCTGCTGCAGTGGGAGATGAAGGAGGAGGAGAAGCAGGGGAGGCCACACACCTGCCACCCCTCTGCTGCGGCCCCCGAAGGAGCCGCGACGGGCGACGGGAAAAGGGGGGGTGGGTGGTGGGGGGCCGGTAGGTGCAGCGGCGGGGCCAGCAGGTGCAGTTGCGGGGCCGGTAGAAGGGGACGGCAGGAGCCGTCAGGAGGGGACGGCGGGGCCGTCAAGAAGGGACGGCGGGGCCGTCACGAAGGGACGGCGGGGCCGTCAGGAGGTGACCGGGCCGCGACGGGGGCAGGCGGCGGGGCCGCGTAAGGGCCTGGGCGGGGCCGCGACAGAGCCGTCGGCGGGGCCGCGTGAAAGCCGGGGCGGGGCCGCGTAGAAGCCGGGGCGGGGCCGCGCGAGAGCAGGTGGCGGGGCCGCGAAGGAGCCGGGGCGGGGCCGCGTGAGAGCAGGCGGCGGAGTCGCGAAGGAGCCGGGGCGGGGCCGCGGGAGAGCAGGCGGCGGAGCCGCGTAAGGGCCTGGGCGGGGCCGCGACAAAGCCGTCGGCGGGGCCGCGTGAAAGCCGGGGCGGGGCCGCGTAGAAGCCGGGGCGGGGCCGCGTGAGAGCAGGCGGCGGGGCCGCGACAGAGAGGGCGGCGGGGCCGCGTCAGTGAAGGCGGCGGGGCCGCAGGGGAAATGGCGACCCGAGGGGTCGCTAAAAAAAAGATCGCGCCTCGGGGGGCGCTTCGGTGGGCCCAAAAAAAAACGGTCCGTAGAAGGACCCGCTCTATACCATGTGAGAATAAGCGAACAGGAATGAATGAACTAGCAGTGAAATGAGTACAAGTAGGAAACCCTAGAATTGTGTACCCCCTATAGGCTAACCCACTGTAGCCTACACAAGCATAACATATATAATGTTTGACACCCACTGCCGCCTGCTGAAATCCAGGAATATCAACAGAAACTAGGGTGCCTACTCTTTGCCGCCGTTACGTGCCGACCGGACTTATCCTACAGCGCCAATCAACTAGCGACCTACCTCAAGCGCCCAGAATAACGTCACCTCAAGGAACTCAACCGCGCCCTTCTCTACTTCATCTCGACGCCAACAGTTGGCTTAACATATCACAAGAACACGACGACCGACCTAAAACTACTCGGCTACGTCGGCGCTGATCATGCTGCTGATCGTGTCGATCGTCGCTCTCGCACCGGCTACATCTACCGTCTTGAGCCCGTCGGAACTATCTCCTGGCAATCAAGTAAGCAGGAACTCGTCGCACTATCATCTGCTGAAGCAAAGTATATTGCTCTCTGCACTGCTACCAAGGAGGGCCTGTACCTGCGCGAACTGCTGGAAGAAGCGAAAATTGCGAAAGTACCCAGCTTCTCGCTTTTCTGCGACAACCAGTTCGCGATACGGATCGCGAACAAGAATGGCTTCGCCAACAGAACCAAGCATATCGCACTGCGATACTTCTTCGTGAAAGACGAAATTGAGAAAGGAAAACTCCAGCTGGATTACTGCCCGACCACCGAGATGGCAGCAGATTATCTCACCAAGAAGCTACCAAAGGGGAAATTCGAGTACTGCATGCTGCTCACCGGATTGGACCACGTCACCGAAGCTGACCACGTCGACACTCCAGAAACGAAGGGGAGTGTTGGGAAAATAAACGCATGACTTAGTGTGTTTCTGTAGTATCGAACCTCACCCGATACTGAAGCACAACAAAAGGAGTACGAAGTCGAAAAGGCACGTACCACATCAAACCGCAACTGGAGGTTGCGAGCTGTAACCGCCTGGAGGTTACGTAACAGCAAGCGACGCTTCAGTGAACAGTAACCACCTCGATAGTCGAAGCGTTACGCGTCTCGATAAACATAACCGCTTCTTGTAATCTATCCTTTCTATATATTCCTGTATGCCCTTTGCTTTAATCAATTACTTGTTCTCACATACCAGCACAAGTGCATTCACTCAAGACTTCCGCTGTGCTACTCTAGCACCTACTAGCCTATTCTCTGCAAAGATCCTAAGGCTGAAATTCTCAGCCCAACAGCATTATCAGTGCCGAAATGAATTCCCTGAACAATGGATACCGGTAACGAAATCTGTTTGTCTGACGGGTCAGGATCAAGAAGCCAATCCGCGTCAAGTGAACTGAACTCGGAGCTCCATGTTAAAACCTTGAAACCTGACGAAGCGGCTTGGACCTTTAACATCTTTATGTCTCTGGAACATAGGCCCTTTAAAAATGCTAATAGAAGAAAGCAGATGATTTCATGAGCTGTACAGAGTTATGCTGGAACAAGTAGAGCTTTTTTGAATTTGATGTGGTGTACGCGATATGACGGAGCCAACCAGTTTTTTTTGGAGATTTGTCAGCCTCTACCCCTCCCCATTGGAAATTCCGCCTGTCACTCCACAAGTTGTCTCAGGCAAGACGACTGAGCCCAGACCCAGAAACACTTGCTATCAGACCAGACCAGATTCGCCGGAAAAGGCTTTGCTCTGACGGCAACGCATTTCCGTCGGACTGACTGTTGTTTCATGCGCAGGGCCTTCAGATATTCCGTTAAATATAAGATTTAGTGTCTCGCGTAGCGTCGTCATTTAGCTTTTGTGTCTCGCGAAGCGTCGTCAGATATTCCGCTTTCAAGATGATATTAGGGAAGTTGCTGCTAGCATTGCTGCTGATCGCACCGCTCCGGTCCAATGCTGACGGAACAGAGTCAAGTAGGACAGATTCCGTCCATTCTAACAAAACCTTGGCGGAAGAGCACATTGCTTCTATCATGATGGACTGGCTGGTGGAACGAGGAGTCACTGGACTGACTCCAAACTCCCCCTTGCAGGTACTTTCTACATCATCTAGTTACCCCAAGCTATTCTCGCGAAATCTGGACGTTTCTGCATTTTATTTCTTGTTTTTTTTTTTTCCCCTCAACGATGCACCTTCCTCCTCCCGATCTCGCAACGTCACATACGTCGCATTCCCCTTCTCCTACGTCAGATTGTGGTGGGGAAGCCTCGTGGTAACCGCGGGTTGTCGCGTACAAGGTGCGATAGCATTGTGGATGAAACGACATGAAGGTGGGGCAGCAATGCATGCAAAACAGCGTCATAACTTCAGTTTTCTCGCATGCCTACATCTAACGAAGGCGAGCATCTGCTCTCCTCCTTTCCGCCCTCATGTCGCTCACCCAGCACATCACTTGACCCACCAGCGCTCACAATCCCTAAGGCCCTCCCGCATGGCCCTCCCTCATCTTAACCATGATATTTCCATCGTAGAAACACGCGAATTTGTTTATAACGACCCCCTCGTTTCTACTCCCTCACTCCCTTCCTTCCTTCTACCCACACACCCTCCCCTTGCCCCACCCGTTCCCCAGACGCGGCCTCTCCGTCGTAGCAGCGCGCGATCTAGACGAGGGAGAACCGCTCTTCTCCCTCCCCCCCTCCGCCTTCATCTCCCCAGAACAACCTATCACTCTCCCCTACCCGTACCCCCTCACGCCCGACGTCTCGCCTCTCTCCGGGTGGACGGCCTTCTCCATCCTGGCGGCGTGGATTCTGAGGGAGAAGCGCAAGGTGGAGAGCAGTGAGGGGTCGCAGTGGGGCGTGTATGTGCGCTCGCTGCCTGAGTACGTGCCGCTGCCGGTGTTTTTTCCAGACGATTTGATTCAGGAGTTTGAAGTGCAGAGCATGATCGACCATGTGAGTGCGTGGGTGGGTTGGTGAATGAGTCGGGAGTGAGTGCGTGTGTGAGTGGGTGAGCAAATGGGTGGGTGAGTGAGTGAACGGTTGAGTGAGAGTGAGTGGGTGAGTGAGAGAATGAGTGGGAGAGTGTGAGAGTGAGTGGGTGAGTGAGAGAATGAGTGGGAGAGTGTGAGAGTGAGTGGGTGACGTTCCCGTCCTTCCCTGTTCCCAAATGCTACACCTCCTTTCTCCCCACCTTCCCTCCTTCAGGCCTTCTCCTACCGAGAAACGTTCAAGTCAGAGTACGAGCGGTGTGACAAGGCAGCTATCGCCAATGCGGGTGAGGAGGAGTTCATGTGGGCCGTGGCTGTCGTGTCCTCCCGGGCCTTCAGCAAAACAGCCAGCAGTAGTGCAGGCAACAACACTGGAAACAGCAGCACCTGCAGCCATGGTAACAGCAGCGAAGACAACAGCAGTGACACCAACAGTAATAGCGGCGATGACAGCGGGAGCAGCAGCAGCAGCAGTGGTGGTGGCAAGAGCTGCAGCAGCGGTAGCAGCAGCAGCGGGTCCAGTGAGGCACAGTATGTGACGGCGCTGTTCCCCTTGGCAGAGCTGTTTGACCACCACGCTGCCAACACCATGGGCTGGCAGGTCAGTGGGTGCTTCGGCTTCACGTGAGTGGGCTTCTGAGTAGAGTAGAGGTGCTGTCCCATTTGTGATGCTGTCCCAGCTCTCTGATTTGCTTCCTGTGCTGTCTGTCATCCCTCGTTTTGGCAATCAATTCACTTTTTTCACACCCTTTTCACATCCTTTGCATACCCTTTGCACTAACAGACGGACGAGCAGACCGACACCATCGTCGTTCGGAGCTACGCCGCCCTGCCAGCTGGCGGCCAGCTGTACAACAGCTACGGGACAAAAAGCACCGACATGTTCCTGCAGGTGTACGGCTTCGTGCCGGCCGACAACCCGCACGACTCGTTCCAACTCACCGCCTCCGAAGCTGACCTGGCAGAGATATACTATAAGCACTATGCGAACGTGACTATAAAGGAGGGGAGAAAGGGCATGTTCGACCTGTGGGCGGAGTATCTGCTAAGGAGGACGAGCGAGGATGTGAGGGCAGCGAAAGAGAAGGTGGAGGAGGAGGTGGGGGTGATTGGCGGGCCAAAAGCAGATGTGTTTGGGGAGGGCAGTGCGCATGCGGTGTGGGCAGGAGGGCAGGTGGACCCGCGCATGCTCCTCTTCCTCGCGTCGCTGTGGCACGTGTTTGGCTACGGGGAAGGTGCGTGGCTCCTGTGCCGTAATTTGGATGGCTTGCGTTTGCGTCCAGAGAAGGTATATTGTTCTTTGCCATGGTTTACAATTTTGCATAATCTCCCTTCATATGTTTAACCTGCTCATGCCTGTTTTCTTTCTTAAACATTCACTTAACCCTCCGTTACCCAACCCTCGTTTTTTTGGGGCCCCCATGCTGTCACAACTACTACCAGAGCCCAACTACTCAGGTTTGGCCCAAGCCTCAGTGTGGTTCGGCTGGCACATCTACAGTGGAACATGCGCTGACATGGCCCAATCCATAGGCCTGACCGACCACGAGCTCACGAGCCTCCTCGCCGCAGCTGATCTGGTTCGGGATGAGGTTCGGCAGGCCCTGGCGAGCTGCTCCACGCCTATCGACGAGGATCGGCGACGCCTGAAGCAGCTGGAGAAGTGCTGGTGGGTGGATGGGAAGATCGAGAAGGAAGATGGAACGGAGGAAGAGGAAAGAGAGGAAGTGGGAGAAGGCGAGGAAGGGGAAGAGGAGGTGTGCACAAAGGACGTGGTTCAATCACTCATGGAAAGGGAGCTGGTGCTACAGTACCGTATTGCAAAGAAGAAGTTGCTGCATGAAGTTTACGATCGGCTAGAGGAGGGGTGCTCGTCTCTCTTGCAGTCAGAGTCTCCAGAATCTAATTCCGCAGAGGCGGCATCAGAAGGGTTGAAGGGATTGTTACCAGAGCTGACTGTGTCGGCTCCACATTTGCCTGCAGAGCAGCATGACGAGCTTTAGGGTTACATTTTCATTGCCAGCTTGTACACTTACTATTGTTGATTGTGTTGTCAAGGGACTTCGGTGGAAACTTGTGGATTTGAGATGTTGATCTCCAGAGCTTTGGAAAAAATGGAGCACAGAATATCTTATACGGCATAATTATTTGTTTTTTATCTCTACATTCCTAAACCATCTACCGTATTATGGTGGAACAACATTGGCGAAAATAAAAGGAATTCTAAAGAATTTCGACTCTGCTGATTGGGTGACAAGTTGGTGGGAAACTGTCATGTGGACCCGGCTAGGTCACCCACAATGCTGTCCAGTCACCATGACAAACGACAACTGCGACAACCTGCACGTCCACAAGCTGAAACATCACTCCAGTGGGGCACTAGGAGACACAGAAGACGGAGACCACAAACAGCGGAGCCAATCCTTTGATATATGCACTGTACAGTCTATCAAACTCATTAGAAAGAGAACATTTCATCCTCTGATGTATCTAATGGAAGACTATCTAAGTAGTGCTTCTCCTCTACAATATTATCTCTAAATGCAGTATCTAGATGATATCCGATAGCGGCCTGCCCTCCACTTCGCACATCCCCTTTATGCTGAAACAAGGACGGTTGGTGTACATATGCTTCACGCCCTTTTTCCGTCAAATACCTATGGATGAGCAGGTCCATTGGTGCAGCAAACCAATTTTCCTCCACGAAGGAAACGATGGGTGCAGCCGCAGTTGAGTTGAAGAGCAGAGCCTGCGCACAGCAGGGAACGAGGTACTTGTTGCCGTGCATGATTGGCCAGAAATATGAAGCTGGATGGTAGAGAGAGAGCAGGTCCCAATCTGGCTTGTCTTTGAGATCCTTGGAGATGAATCTGTCAATCCCAAGGTCCCACATTCTGACTGGCAGCGTGTCGTCTTGTGACAGGAGGATGTGGCGTGGCTTTGTAGCCATGCATTCCCTCATAACGTCGACGAAATCCAGTGCCAGCTTGGCATGCCACCGCCACTTCTGCCATCCGTCCCTTTCCACATGCTGGCGTGGCACCGTCCGGAGCAGCTGATCTGGATCGTTTAGAAGGTTGCACGATGCTTGATTGGCTGTGATGACATGGACAGGAATGCTCAAGTTAGCGGAAGCTTCAGTGATGGAGCGCGTGTGTGGCTCGACGAGGTAATTCAAGGATGAGGAAGAATGAATGGCTTCAAGGAGAGATCTGGCATAGTCGCTGGTGACATTGGCTTCCTGTGCATACGCACTCACTACTTGATCCGGTATTCTGTATTCTTTTTCACTCCGGCCTTGCCGAATCAACCTCCTGAAGTACGACCTTCCTTCCGAGGCGCTGCTCCCGGTTCCGTCGATGCTCTCATCCGCGTTAGTACTAGCTTCTCCGCTCAAACCGCCGGATGGAAGTTTATCAACGTTACACCCGGCACTGTACACGACGATTCTCACTGCCCCCTCTTTCAAATGCCCTTTCGCTCTCCGCTCGTCCAGCGCCTTCAAAAGCTCCACCACACGATCAGCAGATCGTGCTGCTTCCTCCACCGTGCGATCATCATCCGACGGCTGAGATTCTGAACTTTGAGGTGGCGTGTCGCGCCGAGGAACGCGCGGGGAGGACGGGATGGCGATGCACAAGCCGCCGTTGCGAGCCATGTCGCTCGTGGAAGCAGCTTTGCCGAAGCTAACGGCGCCGCTGATGTCGGTCTGGCCATTTCCCGTAACATCATTGCCTTCGGTCCTTGCTTCTCTGAACGAAGATCGTCGTTCCGAGACGGAAACCGCCGCAGAAATGGTGACGCCTCCGCGGAAACCGTTGTGGAGATGATGAGAATTTGATTTGCCGAGCAGACTTGGTGGAGGGGAGAAAATGCAAAGCATTGCCGCGGAGCTAACCATGACGACGGCGAATAACACGCGCGCTGCTCGAAAACAAGCTAGACGCCCAGGATATCCTGGTTTTCTGGATAAAGTAGTAATATTACCGCGGCTGTTTACTACTGGCGGCATCAAGCCTTGAGATTCAACATCTGCGGGTCTAGTTTCCTCTCTACAGGGACGCCAAAGTTTTTCATCAACTAGTAATTCCGGCCGCATCAGATTAATGATAGGCATGTTGGTAGCGCGCGGAAAGAATTTCTTTAGTCACTTATACTAAAACGGTGGTCAAATAGGAGATCTGCTAAAACGGTGCCACTTGTTCTAATGCTGTATGAAACACAGACAGGCGAGAAAAAAAATTGCTGGTTGCATGATATCATTCCTGACAACTCCTGACACAGGGTGGAGAGTGATGTTAGAGAATTGGCAGAAAAGCTGGTTGAGGGACGACCGAGGGAAAATGGGAAGTAACGGAAGGGCGTGCACGCAAGGATGAAAGAGGAACGCACTGAGAACCCTGGAATCGACTCATTAAAATTCATACTCGATGTTTACGTATTTGCGAAACATGTGTCGATCCAACACCTGGTAGCAATCTCAGCGTATTTCCGTGGTTTGCGATTTTTGGTTCGTATAATAATTCGTGAAATGGTAATCAGGCACACTGCGCTCGTCAGGTTACATATAATTGATCCGAGCTAGAACAATACGACCCGCTGATTGTTGCAAAGTGCGCTTGAACGCGCTCCATTCAGAAAGGATGGAGCACAGAGTTTCGGTCGGATCGAGGGAGGATGAAGGAGAGAGTCACGCATATTTGACCGTGTCCCTTGACGCTTCGAAGGAGAATTGGTTCAGGAGGCTCGACAATCTGGCTAGGTGTCGCTCCGGTCCGGGCCCTCCTGACCTGCCCTTGTCTCACCGCGAAATCATCAACCTCCACCCTATCGCCCTCACCCAGAAGCAGCAATGTGCTCTCCCCCAGCCAGACCAGAAGGGCAAATCCAATCCCCCAAAGCCAGTGCCGCGTTGAAGTGTTGCGTGGAGAAAAGAGAGACACGACATGCCACCACAACCCGAACAAAACAAAAAGAGACTGTTTATCGTGCAGGTTGTCTAGATGTAGACAATACACCTTGTTTCACGCTACATTGGCTTAGGCTGTATTATGAAACGGTTTGTAGAACACAAAAGTGTCCATAACGATGCTAGCACGCTGCGTATAAGCAGAATTTGCCGCACTCAGACATATCTGATAGCGCGGTTTCCTTCCTAAACCATTGTGTACTTTTTGACATTTGTCGCCCATTATGCATTTGCTTGCCATCTTTCTAGGGTTCGGTTACTTCCACCAGCCTAGAAAACCCAAGCACTGTTGCAAGTGCTTACGCTTGTGATAAGGTCTCGAAACAAGGTATGTTTTGATTCACTCCAAGGTCCTGCACACCCATACTTACTCCTCCACGTGATTTTCAAATCCAGCGCTGCTATGTTAATATACAAATAAGCTGTTATGAAGCGACACAACCAAAGACGTGGCATAATTGGTAATCTGATAGCAAAATTGGCTTTTCGACCCCAGCCAATAAGGGTTATTGCAGCACATGTATAACAGGCCCTCAGATTCACTTTTTGGGACGCTGATGCATCAGAGTCCCTGTGAAAAAAAGCCTGAATTTCAGGGTTCCTTCAAAAAAAGGCCTGAATTTTCAGGGTTTCGGAAAACAAAAGCCTGAATTTTGAATCACATCATGCAATTGAGCAAGAGGGTAGCCTTAACAAACATGGTAGTAGAGGGATTCAAGCACCCTTACCATTCGGTATCTACTTCGCTAACCACTAAGCCAGTTCATCGAGTCAACGATCAGTATTTTTTACACAAGATTTTATTATGTGGAAATGTTGGTTGACTTATTGTCTCGGGTGTTTTACGGGAAGGATTCGGAATGTGCATTCAGCGTACACTTCGATAAAAGTCTGAAACATCAGTGTTAGCTATGAAGTAAAGGCTGAAAAAATCAGTGTCACAAAAATCTCAACACTGAAAATTCAGTGTATGTACACAAAACTAGGCTGAAAATCAGGAATTTCAGGGGAAAATTCATGATATCGTAGGGCCTGATGTATAATAGTACGCAAACCATACGCCATTTATATGTTATTGGGTCATACGACATAATGCATGATATGAAACATGTCAGAACATTATATAGCTTATACTTTTGTGTAGGCTGTAGTGGGGTATCCCATAGGGGGTACAACCCAATTAGGGTTAGTACTTGTACCCACTTCATTCATAGTTCATTCATTCTTGTTTGTTCTCATGGTATCGAGCAGGTTCCCTCGTGGGAACTGTTCTTAGGGCCCACCAAAACCGAACATTTTTTTTCCTGCCCGGAGCGCGCCTTGCTTAGGCCTCCTTCGGCCCCGTCGCGTCGCCCCTAACGACCTCCCTTCCGCCGCCCTTCCTCGGCCATCGCCGCCCTTAGCGGCCCGTCGCCACCCTACGCGGCCCGGCGCCGCCCTTTAGCCGCCTGTCCCGGCCCGTCGACGCCCGTGCGCCGCCCGTCCCGGCCCCGCGCCGCTGTCCCGGCCCGTCGCCGCCCGTACCGGCCCGTCGCCGCCTGGCCCGTCGCCGCCCGTACTGGCGCGTCGCCGCCCTTCGCGGCGTCGCGAGCCGCCCCTACCCGAGGCTCTGCCGCCTTACCTGCGGCCCCGCCACCCTTCCCGTGGTTCCGCCGCCTTACCCTACCTGCGGCCCCGCCGCCCTACCTACGGCCCCGCCACTTTAACTGTGGCCCCGCCACCTTACCTACAGCCCGGCCACCCTATCAGTGGCCCCGCCACCCTACCTGCGGCCCTGCCGCCTTACTCTCGGCCCCGTCACCTACTGTAGCGCCGCCCGCCATCCGAGCCGCCCGAGCCGTCTCACCCGGCCGAGCGGCCGTCCGCCGTGCCGCCCTGCAGCAGCACAACTGAGCCGCCCAGCGACAGAGCAGCCGAGCCGCCCAGCAGCCGAGCCGCCCAGCAGCCGAGCCGCCCAGCAGCCGAACCACCTAGGAGCCGAACCGCCCAGCAGACGAGCCGCCCAGCAGCCGAGCTGCCGAGCCGACGAGCCGC